CCCAGGAAGTCAAAGGGGGTCACTTCCTTGACTACGACCTTACATAACAGGGGTTGATTTTTTGTACTGAGGATTAGTATGACCACCCTCTCGACCCCTGAGACAAAACGTGATCCTATGTTTTGGCATGCGTAGTTGGGGTGGGGGGGTGGGGTCTTTAATGTCACAATCTTGCGATGGTTTCCTCGGAGCTTCGACCACAAAAATCCGGGTTGTGGTTAATTCTAATCAGTACTGGGCACTCCAACCCCCCCCCCCGGTTAATTATTCCGTCACGAAAATCTAGCTAGTGACGTGGACAAGATTACAGATATTTAATGTCATGATCTTGCGATGGTTTCCTCGGACCGTCGACCACAAAAATCCGGGTTGTGGTTAATTCTAATCAGTACTGGGCACTCCAACCCCCCCCCCCGGTTAAATATTCCGTCACGAAAATCTAGCTAGTGACGTGGACAAGATTACAGATAGCATTATCTACTCTTTATTCTTATTCATGAAACAACTCTGCACCAATATCAACAACACCGGCGTCTACGGCTTTTTGAAAAAGTTTATTAAATTCTGGTGCAATGAGAACCGGAACATTGCCTAGTATATTCATAATTGGTAATTACACATTTTTTTTAGAAATGTTCGAAAATATCTTTTCTCTGTATTTCATGTGCGTGAAATAAGTTGGCCAGTACTCAATTATATAGATTATACAAAATTAGGTCACCGTCTGAAGCAACTATTCTATGCCCACGGTGTCATAGATTATTCCGAGCAAGGATCGGTCTAGTAAGCCACCTACGAGCTCACCGTAATTCCAACCTCCCCCTAACCGGATGATTCGATGGTCCTAGTCGACTTCGACGAACGAACAACAACGACAGATTATACAAGACAACTACGCTCTTCCATTGACAATAGAACCCTCTCAATCCCAAGAACCAAAACTAAGACCATCGGTGAACGCTCCTTCTACTTCCATGGGCCCACGTTCTGGAACCAGCTCCCCTTCCATATCCGTCATTGTGAAACCTCGTCCACTTTTAAAAAGTCCCTTAAAACCTATCTGTTTAGGTCCGCCTATGACCTGTGATGCACCCTCCTTGCCCTGCCTCATTTTCTGTCTCGGGTTGATCCTGTATTATAGGTCAAAACGTGCCAAAGTGTCCTCGTTTTATAGCCATTTTAATTGTTGCTATAGTATAGTAGTTACTATCCTAATGTCTCATTTTTATTTTACTTAGTTTACATGTTTTTAATAATAGTAAAGCGCTTAGAGCTTTAAGGTAAGCGCTGTATAAAAATGCCTGGATAAATAAATGCAAAATTCTTAAACCCAATGCAGTAAGAAATACTTAAATACATTTTTAGAAAAAAATGAACGTCTGTATTACATTTTTTTCAAATGTACACTTCAAGGGTCTGGAAAAGAATCATAATTTTTTTTAAGGAAAAAAAAAACGCTTCTATACCCAAGTCAATTATAAAAATACAAATTTTGGTTCTAATATGCTGAGACTTTGCAAGTGCAGTTTGAAAGTTACCAAAATTATTACTCTAAGAACACCGGGCACATCTTCAAGAATTAAGATATTGTTAATTTTTAAAAAAACAACGAATGTCTGCTGAAAGGAAATTTGAAGATGGTTTTGCAATTATTACATTAAATGGTTAAATAATATCTCGAAAGTTTGACAAAACTATGTAGAAACAAAAGCGGGTATATATTTGGGGAAAATATGTTTAATATGATTTAAAATTGATTAGCTAAATAAGACAGTTATTTGACTGGGATATTTTTATAGTATAAGATAATCTTGTAGAATTATATTATATTTTATGCGAATATTTTCTCAATTGCTAACGGTTCCTTTGTCATAGACTCTCCAATAAAAGATTGAAAGACATATGGATTGAACGTATGCAGAAGGAGGTCATTTTTTTTTTCAATTAAATTATTTATGTTTCATAAAATAAGCTTTGTTTTCAATATTGGTTTCTAAGAAATTTCAAATAAAGTATTAAAAAATTAACAGTTTCTTTGACTCGATGAAAGACACAAAAAAACCCAACGTTTTGTGTCTTGAGAAATCACATATAATTGTTAAAGATGCTATGGGTGGTGGAAAGGGGGTTGAGACTAAGTGCAAGGCCGCATCTGCGCTACAAAAAAATGTGCAAGAAAATTCAAGAAATCAGTATCTACTCAAATGAATGTGAGAACCAGTGAAAATATGGAGAAAAAAAAACATAAAGGCTAAAGAAAAATTACCATTCGACTATTATCTCTTACAAGTGGAACAAATGTTACAGCTTAAATGATACTTCTCTATTTAATGGAAATAGTTAGGTACAATAGCGTGTGTTTAAAACTTAAAATAGGAGGGCCGAGGGACTTCAAAAGAAAATAATAAATCAAAATCCCTGCATCTTCAAAATCTGTAACAAATTTTCACTATCATGACCCATGTCCAATAATGGCATTTGCATTTCTCATGCTTCTATTGCTATTTTAAAGGGATTCCTCATTTTGCTCCTTAAATTGTATATAGATAATTATTTTCTGGTAAGTAGGCTGGGGAAAAAAGAATTTAGACAAACATTAACCGCTTGAGTGTAAGGCGATCCCTGATTCTGAGTCAATTGTGTTTAAATGAAGTTTTGTGTAGTGTCTTGAATCCCTCTACGATCTCAAAGAGTTGATAAATAAACACAATTTCCTTTGATGTATACAAAAATGCTGATCAACATATTTTTCACTCAGGCAGACATTACCAATTTCTCCTATTTCCTTAGCTATATTAAAGTATAATATTTACCTGGCGATTGACGCATGGCATATGTCTTCCGAACTTCTTTAAAATGCATATCACTTTATGACATATACATGTTAGTTTGTCACCACATACACACACGCACACAAATGAACGGAAGGCCCCGCAACAACAAGCTGTCAGTATCAACCTAATGATCGCCCGGTGGTTGCACTAAGCAAGCTGTCACAAACGGTTGCTGCGGAGGAGAGCTCCGGTCCTGACTTATCACAAACTGAATTGGTTTAGTAGTGTTAAGTACAGGACTTCTCCTCTCTGTGATTTATATGTTGAGTATCTAGGCGTTATGACTTAAATGAACACTAAACAGCTCAAACTCCAGGTGTCCGAAAGACGAAAATAATATGTTTATTACTAATATAAAAAGCTCTTCTGTAGGCCTCACTGATTGTCAGCTACCTATATGAATCTCTGAAGCTGTGACTTTCCTGGACTGTTTAACTGTTCCGTATCAACTATTCCTATGTCCAACTGTTAACACTTCACTACTTGCCTATCCAAAAGTCTAACTTTGATTACAGTTATTAACATTAAATATGTCTCCTAAGAGTCACCATCCATTTAATCTCTAAAACTTAAAACCAAAACCTTCTCTCCTCTCTCCGAAAAATTACCCCGCAGCTCATTCATCGTGTAATAAACTTGGTGCCATACAGACCCTATAGGGAATGTCCGAACAAAAAACAACAAACATTATTGCTCACTGACAACATGATCAAAAGAACACATCATCAAATCACAACAATTCCCGCCCACACTATAAATCACCTGAAGAAACCATGGAGCGCCGTTGTTAAACACTGCCTTAGTCATTTACGATACTAACAACAATGGACATTTGTGTAGATATTTAGCTCGCTGATGAGGTCCAGCTTTGGAATAATGTTTTGGTGTTGTAAAATTTTAGTACATAACACATAATTATTAAAGAAACATAACGACAGGAAGAGAACAAGATAATGTTGGTGTTGTTGTTTTTTTTTGGTGTTCTTTTTTTTTTTTTTTTTTTTTTTAATTTTTAATTTTTTTTCTTTTTTTTAACCGGTTTTTGACTTTTACAGAAAACTCAACTACACGCAAAAAATTAAATTTTAAAACACTTTTGACACACAAACATTGTTTTTTTTTTTTTTTTTTTTTTTTTTTTTTTTTTTTTTTTTTTTAATATTTAACTTTTTTGCCTTGTATTAACCGGCATTTGACATTTACAGAACACTCAACTACACGCAAATAATGACATTTTAAAACACTATTGCCACACAAGCATTGATTTTTTTTTTTTTAACAAAGTCTATTGTCAAGTGTTTAAAATTACAGCGCCTCTCTGGTGTTCAAACTTTGCGCTTGTTTGATAGAGATAATTCTCAGTTTTGGGCTCACAAGCAGAGCACGTGTTCCAAGTTATGAATCGTTCACTAGAATTAATTGTGTTTTTATACATTTCTAACACCGTGCTATCATTGCCATGTCGTCTCATAGATTTAATAAAGTGGCATCCATGCAAAACTGTTCTCCTCCACGAGTTGTCGTCAATATCAAACATTCCGCTGTCTTGATATTTACATTTTTTCCCCTTCAATATGCATTTTGTCACACCTTAGAAACACATTTGTTTCTCCCTATGGGGGCAAGCCATAAATAAATATGGATTATCTGCATTAGATTCGTATCGTGTTTCTTTTTAAAGGCATTCAAAGGATTGGGTGATTGTAATAATTAAACTAATTACTATTTTGTGACATGCTGTGTGATGATAAAGATGTTTACAGCAGCAATGTCGTGAGAGTATTTTTAGCTGCTGCTGCTGACAAGTTTTGCTGGTTACATTTGGAAATATTCACGTCAATATTCAGAGATTCATCAGAGAAGCTCATTATAATGACAAAACTGATTCAATGCTCTGCGCCGTCTGTATATGGAAATTGCTACATTTTAATTTTTATTATATTAAAAAAAAATAGATTGTATTGTTCTTTACGATCAATTTAAAAGGCCCAGAAATTAATGCAAGTTAAGTTTCTTCGAATCTGTAAAATATTGACGCAGAGTTGCACTAAACAAACTCCATAGATGACAGATGACAAGAAAAACAAGAACGATGTTGTTTATATTAATCAGATGAATTCCTCTTACTTCCCAGCATTTCCGATTCCGGACGTTTCCTACGCACGTGACCCCCACGTCATAGTATTTCTCGCTGTTTTAAGTGTCATTATTTCGGCGTTTACAGTTTTAGCAAACTTTACAGTAATCCTAGCAATATTTCGATCACGTGACAAAGAATCGGCTACAAATAAGAACAACCGCATGACAAAGTTGTTGATGACGTCCATGGCGGCGTCAGATTTGATCGTCGGGATATTCCTCATGCCTATCAGAACTATCCAGATTGTATACAATGGCAAATGGATACTGGGCCAACAGTTATGTGGCTTAATGCTCACATTCACGAATATTCTATGTGGCATATCAGCGTTTCATATACTTTGTATGGCTCTGGACAAGTATCTGGCCGTGTGCAAGCCGTTTGTGTACAGAAAGTTGACTGTTAGGACTGGATACATCATGATCGTTCTGTCCTGGCTGATCCCGGTTGGCGCTTTCGGAATACCAACAATAAAGAAATGGCACCAAACAGGGATGGAAGAGCGAATCGCCCTTTTTGCACGTTTGAATATCTGTGGGTCACTCTACAACAAAACTCTAATTTTGACAATGTGTGCATTTATCTTTTATCTACCCGTCTGTATCACTTACCTGTTGTACTGTTTTATATTTCAAGAGATCAGTATGTTCTTTAAACGGGCTCCTAATTATAACAGAAATGTTAACAGAAATTCTAACATTCTGAGTTCTCCTAATAGAGGAAATGACAGGAGCGTCCCCAGGAGGTCTCGGCGGTTTGCGCGCAACATGAAAGCGATACGCACTATCGGGACCTTGGTGGTGTGCTTTACCGTGCTTTGTATGCCAATGTGGATTTTTGTGGCTGTGTTTGTCTACGACGATTACAATTTACCATCCAGGGTTATAGCAATAGTTATTTGGATTGCACAGTTTAATTCAACAATCAACCCCCTGTTGTATTGCAGTGTCGAATCCGTCCGAAGGGCCATCAAACAGTTTATGTCCTAATTAGTTTCATAAATGGGTTTGTGCTTATATCATCTCTTACTCAAGAATTGTACAACTGTTATTATAATTTTAAACAGAATTAGATGATATGACAGCACAATGTACGTTAAAATAGTATTTTAAATTATTTTGTTTTAAATTTAAATTTAATGGGTGTGGGACATTTTATTTTTGAAACCTGACAACTCTCTTGTATGTAATATGAAAAATATATATATATATAATGTGATATTCAAGGTCTTTATTGTTTCAATTGATAAACACTGAAATTGTTTAATGGATCTTATAGATTAAATAAGAATGAGCTATGCTGATCGTAAAGCCAAAGAAATGAAAAGATTTAAATACGTTGGCATTAAAATAAACAAAAAACATTCATAGTTATTTTCTATTATTTTTCGGGCCTCGAATAAATTTAAATGCGCAAAAAATATGATATATCCACTTTTATTTTAGTAAAAGTTTAAGTATTATTATAATAAATTACAAATACATTTAAAATAACAATAAAGGAACTATTTTAAGCGTTTATCAAAGTTTGAAATTTATAGGGGAAAATGTTTACAAAAGAATTATGCTCAAAGAATTACATTGTCATCACATTTTTTCGGGAAGACCAAAACAATTGTTTTGTTTAATTCGTTTTTATTGCGTTGTTGATATTACGAAATACATTTTTAATCAATTTGTTGTAAATAAACACGAAAATGACGTCATAGCGCGATTTGACTATCAAGCCAAAGTTCAAAGTTTCTTTAATTTACTCACCGCGCGTGACAGAACAGATAATGTATTTTCCCTTCATACAAGTAAAATTAATATATATGAATGTCTGTTTGTACGTATTTCCCGTATGCTCTCCTTTACCACAAATGCGATTGCCATAAAACTTTGGTAAGTTACTTTGCGCACGCCCGAAAATGTTTTTGAATTATTACAACCATTTTAAAATATTCCATTTTGAGCCAGGGGCCATAAATTCGCTTTTTGTTTTTGTTTTATGAGCAATATAAATATAATTTTAAACAGAGCTAATGCATGGGTGGATGGAGTCTTAATCAAATTCCGTTCGACGCCAGAGGCCCTAAATTCGTTTTTAGCTTACATTAGCCACATAAATATAATTTCCGAAAAGCGTTCCTAAACCATTCATCCAATTGCGATAAAACTTTAGTTGTTGTCCGTACGCCCGCAATATTTCTAAGTTAGTACAACCATTTTACAATAATCAGTTTTTGGCCGGGGGCTCTAAATTCATTTTTAGCTAATATTAGCTCAATAAATATAATTTCCTTATGCGTCACTATACCATTCGTCTGATGGCGATAAAACTTTGATGAATGTTGTACGCACGCCCGCAAAGGTTAAAGAATTAGTACAACCAGTTAACTATATTCCGTTTGGGGCCGCGGGCCCTAAATTCGTTTTCTCCAATATGAGCAATATAAATATAATTTCAAATAAAGCTAATGATGGATGATATTTTGATCAAATTCAAAAAGCGACATCTCAGTTGGTGTATGGCATAATTAGTAACTTTCTGAGTTTAATACAACCATTTTAAAACATTCCATTTGGGAAAGGGGGGCCACAAAATTTGTTTTTTTTAATTATATTAGCTATATAAGTATAATTTTATAATCTTTGCTTCAACTCGTTCACTGACCCTCACTTTCCTGTCTATCTCTCTGAACTGTTGCTTCCTTACATCCCCACAAGACAACTACGTTCTTCCATTGACAGTAGAACCCTCTCAATCCCAAGAATGCTTCCATGGGCCCACGTTCTGGAACCAGCTCCCCTTCCATATACGTCATAGTGAAACCTCGTCCATTTTCAAAAAGTCCCTTAAAACTCATCTGTTTAGGTCCGCCTATGACCTGTGATGCACCCTACTTGCCCTACCTAATTTTCTGTTTCGGTTTAATCCTGAAGTGTCAAAGTGTCCTCTTTTTATAGCCATTTTCATTGTTTCTATAGAATAGTAGTTACTATCCTAGTGTCTCATTTGTATTTACTTAGTTTACATGTTTTAATAATTGTAAAGCGCTTATAGCTTTATGATAAGCGCTATATAAAAATGCCTAAATAAATAAATAAATAAATAATTTCAAACAGAACTATTGCATAGGTGGATCAATCGCTACAAGTGTGTGGTCTAACTTGTTGAAAATTCCTGCTTCTCACATAAACAGCTTTTTGTGGCCTGCTCACAGTTCGAAAAACCTTCTACTTTATTCGTGTACGCAACATACAGAAAACAAAATAATATTGTCAATATAAAAAGTATTCAAAAAACTTTATTAAAACACAAACACTTTCTTAGAGTGCCATTTGCAACGCATACCGGGTTCTCGCAACGATATAAGAATGAGCCAAACTGGGGCATAGGCCGTCCACAAGAATTTTCCACTCATCACGGTCCTGTGCTTTCCTTTCTCATTGCTTCCAGGTGTATCCCATATTTTGCGTGCCTGCCTCTAGTTCGTGCCTCCATGTATTGTTATTCTTTCCTCTCTTTCTTTTTCCCTGTGGGTTCCATGTTAGGCATTGTCTGGTGATGCTATCTGGGGGGTTTCGGAAGCGTATGCCGTAACCTCCATCTTTTCTGAATTTAAATAAATTACCCCAAAAAAGTTACAATTAAGGAGTAATTTTAAGTATTTTTCCCCACAACTCGAAGGTGAAGAAACACATTTTAACTAGAAAAGTTATGATCTAAGACGTATATCATAATCACATTTATCGGGAAAATCCAAACATCTGTTTTCTTTCCTGCGTTGTTAATCTGGGTTATTGAAATTGCGAAAAAAATGAAAATTTATTTTATCGGAATAAATACACAAATGACGTCAAAGCGTGCACTGAATATTTTATGCAAAGCTATAAGTTTTCTTGATTTAATATCCACGCTTGACAAAAATGATAATATATTTTTCCTTCGTAAAAATAAAATTAGTGAACATAATTGATAGCCCTTTAAGTTGTTAATAAAACATGGGATCAAGACGGAATAGGGATCCCAGCGCAATCGGGATCCTATCGGGAAACTAGACCTCAAAACTGGACATTATCTTGTGTGTCTATGCAGTGGTGTTTTTTTTTTTTTTTTAAATCAGCGTTATCCAAAACCGACAAAACGGATCATATTGACAGTTTAAAAGCTTTCAGCCCGGTAAACTCTAACAATGATTGTTCAACTCTCACCATGTGGAATGGTAAAGTTAAAACACATATTTTTTTATTATTTTTACTCGTGACGCATTTTCTACAAATGTAGGTTTCTATGTTCTAGCCTTTAAGCTCTCGTTCAACATATGTGTAAGACCACACGAAGTTTGAAAAAAAGAAATTGGGATTATGTTGAATTCAGTTTTGAATTTCTTAAATAACTAAATTGCGACAAATCTGTAAGTGTTTTGTAAATAAACGTTTCGATTAAGTCAACTGATAAAAGTATGTTATAAATATGTTCATCTGGGTGATTACACTCAATATTAATTGAAAATTACGCATAAGGAATTGAAGTCATTGACCCGATCCGAGGCTCTTATGGATACCCACCCAATTTCGCTGAATCTCACCTCCTTTCTTAGAAAGAAGGCTCCTTCGGTGCGAACAATCCGACGGACCCAGGAACGCCAAAGGATGACTTCCTTTAATTAAATCTTACATAATTAGGTTTGGATTTCCTACTGCCGATTATTATGGCCTCCCCCCCCCCCCGGCCACCGCCGGGGCAAAACGTGATCCTATGTTTTTGACGACGCAGGTATGGGAATCTTCACCGGACGCAGGTATGGGAATCTTCACCGGACGCAGGTATGGGAATCTTCATCGGACGCAGGTATGGGAATCTTCACCGGACGCAGGTATTGGAATCTTCACCGGACGCAGGTATGGGAATCTTCACTGGACGCAGGTATGGGAATCTTCACCGGACGCAGGTATGGGAATCTTCAACGGACGCAGGTATGGGAATCTTCACCGGCACCTTCTTGCGAAGGTTTAACAACAACAATTGACCACAAAGATCCGAGTCGTGTTAATCTCTGTAAATCCTTTTTTTTGATATGATGCTCATGATGTTCGCACAGGAGTCTTGGTGGAATGATGTTTGAGAAAAGCATGAAGTGAGGTACTCATTTGACTGGCGGGATCATAATTGATGGGAATAAAGTGAGACAGTTGAGCAGAAATTTTTAGATCACGGTGGACGCATCAATAAATAGTGAATGAATAGGAGTGATATAATATATATTATAAAGCTGCATATCCTGTTATGCTGATGATTATTATTATTATTGTTCCAAGCGATATTTATTGTGTTTCCTAGAAATAAAGAGCACAATGTGTAACATTTGACTTGTTACTTTATTTTGAAGAAGTGGCAGTTACAGTTGCTTTAACAATTTAGATTTAGTTAACTAGCATCAATTTGAGTCACACACACACACATAGGATGAACAGTTGCAATTTCTTAAGTGGTCTTGGGCACTCCATTCCACTTTACGTTAAAACATCACAAGACGAAATTCTAGCCAGTGGTGAGGACGAAACGGCAGCCACACGGCAGTCGTAACATTAACTAAACCGATTGATTTAGGAAAAATAGAACATTTTTTTGTGAGATCTTCACATTTAAAATTGGCTGCACCTATAGGTACTTGCGTACATATAGCCAAAAATGGCTATTTGGACTCGGAGTGGGTCCATATAGATTAAATAGCTTCGGAGCCGGGTGTAATGACAATAATAGTATAAGAATTATTTTTTTAAAGTGTTTTTTCTCCTTATTTCATAGATTCATAGTTTAATTCTTTTTGGTTGTGTTTTTTTTTCTTATTGCAGGTAGTTGCTTTTTCTTTATAATTTTATTTTTTTTTGTTTAAGCCATTTTCGTAGATCAATTTTTTTTTTTTAAATATAGTAAGGGGGCAGGCAGGCTACCA